CAACATGATAATCCTAACATCGTATTAAAAGACACTCGATATTTTAATTAAGAATAGATCTTTTTTTTTTTGTAAATATTTATCCTCATTACGCACATGCAGTTATAAACTTTATTTATTACTACATTCAATATTAATTTTTCAGTATCAGCGTTACTAGTGACCATTCTTCCTCGACAAAAATCACAGAATGATAAACCAAAGCAAACTGCCTAATGATAATGTGTACGGATAAAACTGTAATCAACTAATAGTAATTGAAAGAAAGCGCTTGTAAATATATATCTTGTCTCTGGTTGTTTCTTCTCGATTGTGTAATTTTCGGTGCATGATTTCTCATCATGTAAATATGTAAATACAACACAATTACACTCATTTAGCATAAGGCATTTTCACCACTTTATATGCATGCGTGTGATTCTCGTTTAGAAAACGAGTGCGTGATTGGTTTATAAGAGGTTTTCAACGAACTTCATGATTGTATGGTGTGAAATAATTTCACAGGTGTGAATTAGATAATACAATAGTTAGTTGATATATCGCGACGTTTAGAGACGATATAACAAAACGAAAAACTGATATTGTTGTATAATAAATCTACATTATTATTGTTTATAATTTTAAATTTAATATAAACTTATGAACTCCAGAAGTCTTAATTTAAATGGCCATTCAATTTCTAATTATGAAAAATAATGATAATCCAGGTGTCTCGCCCTCTTTATTTATTATTTCATCTATCCTTATCTATCCTTATAGTGTGTTCTTTATTTACGATCAAATAAATTGCCATAGGTGAAGTATACAAGTAGACATTGCATCTTAATTTCATGTCCCATAAATACTGACATAGTAAAAAATCAGTGGTTTTTAGCGTACTCTATGCTTGAACAACTAATGATGAATTGAAGAACTACATTAAGTGAAAGAATTAAAATTAATCAAGCAATAAATGCGCCAGAAACATGATTTTTGTTATCAAATTTTCAATACCGAAACGTGAAGCTAATAATTAACCGAAATCATTCTATTACATATTACATATTACAACGACTCACATATGATATATATCATTATATAATTTTACATATACAAGCAGTCATTCGGATGACTCGACTCGAGTCTTTCATCCTACAACATGATTGAGTGAACAAAAATGTATGTGACTCACAGTTAGATGCGAAGAACGTTGTCATTGATGCTGCACTGGACCAATAAAAGTCATTGTGAAAATCCTCATCAAGCAAGATATCACTGAGAATCCCATGGTGGAAGTAAATGTCGTGAAAAATTTCTTAAAAAAACATAAAGACACAGTGTTAATTTAAGTTTTAACAATGATAAAAATTAAGATTCTAATAATTTGAAATGTTTTTATTTTATAGTTATAATTTTACATTCAATGAAAAGAGAACAATAAAGAGAGAATAGAATTAATTTATGCAGAAATGTGCTAAAATACTTACATTCTTAGCTTTTGAAGCATCATAAGATTCTTAGAAAATTAGAGAAATTGAAGACTGTAGAGAATCTATAACATAAAACATTAGAATCTGTACTTAAAAACAAAGCGAAATCTTAAGTTGGAAATAATGAAAGATTCTTACATTTTTACTAATACCGAAAACGAATATTGAATAAGAAAAAATATAAAAAAAGGAAAATAAAGGTTATCAATGCGCGCGTTCATGTAACAATCGGTGGACTCACTGACTTCGCGAATTATAATTTGAATAAATTAATAATTTAATTTAATAAGAGTCATTCAGCTCAGAAAAATATTTAAATATTGCGCAACAAACACTGACTTCATCGGCCGCATTGTACGCGGTCACAAAAATTTTCTGTAAATAAAGCTGATTAGTCCGAGGGACGGTGAAAAGTATTCATTTTGAAAAGACTGCTATTTTTCTAGAAAATGACTGTATATAAATCAAAATTTCACAGTTAAATGTATATAAAAAATAACATTACGAAAAACACGCGTGAAGTCTTGCCTTGAATCGTTTAATTGCGTTCGGGAAAGCAAGTGTAGTATAGCAAAGTATAGTACGAAAATTTTGAATTTGATAATCCAATACAAGAATATATATCCACTTAAAGGTATATTACTTAAAGGAATAAAGGTATATTAAGCTGCTATGATCTCATATTCAAAATAAAACATTGATTTAATCTTTCTTTATTTTCATCTTTGTAATAATTACGAAAATAATTACGAAATTACGTATTGTGAATTGTATTTCAAATATTACTTAAAATAAATAAAATGTTATCAAATTCATCAAATTATTCATTAATAATCATGGCGTTCATGCATTCTATGCTATCCTTGCAATGAAGGAATAAGTTGCACAAAAAAGAAACTGAAGTTAGAGAAAATATATCAAATATGTAAAAATGAAACGATAATCAACTTAAAAAAGCGTATGAGACAAGCTACCGGTAATCGTATGAGTCGAAAGATCGATGATTGAAGAATCATCGAATAGTTTCAAAGCACTATTTTGTTACCGTAATGCTTAATGAATCGTGAAACACCCGCGTATTAATTAAATGATACTATTAATAAAGTATAAATAGAGGTAAAAAAGTGTCGAAGAAGCGACGCAATGGAAGAGACGCTCACCAATAGATTAGAAGAAATTACGAAGCATGATACAATATAATACATGTTATCGTTCTGAAATTCGACAGCTGAATGATTCTCTGCGA